ATAGTGCAAAGAGCTTCAGAACACTTTGCAACATTTAGGGAGAATTGATCCTGGTTCACTGGTATCAACATCTGTAAATAGACACAAAGAAGTAATTGTAAGTTATCAAGAGCTGGGGAAATAGGAGTTACCACGTAATTACCATTGTTTCAATCTGAGTTACCACATCTTCACCTCAAAACAACCGGCAGCAGTGTACAATTAACTCTCCTTACTGCAGCACGGATACCAAAACAGTAGAAAAATCAGATTTTTAAGTCGTCTAATGCAATACAACTCCAAGAGTAAGTAGCATCAACTGGCCTCCAAAAGCCCCCAAAATTCAAGAAAGAAATCAACTGGTACCCTAGATTAAAGGCCAGCTCAACTCCAAGACTCCACATTTGTTTAGATTGTCGGACTCTTTCCCCAAACACAATTAGTGGCCAACATAGGAGTCAATGGCTTCTCCCTGTGTTCAAGGCCCCTCCTACCCATCCACCCCCTTTCAGAAGTTAGAAAAGAGCCACCAGTCTACAAACTGACTGATAAAATTTCAACCTACAGGATATTTTCATACTTGAGTTATAATAAACCATTGAAATGAAGATGAACAGTAAACAGGTTAATAATCCATTGGCCAGAGCATTTGAAGCCCAGCATTAGCATACAAAGTCCAAAACTCTTTAAACTAGACCAATGAACAACACACACACACACACACACACACACATCATCATCATCATCATCAGTTCTCCATTCCTTTGACTTAGTCTGTAGTACAGAAGAGTGGAGTCTATTGTTTGCCTGGTCCTAGCTGTTCACTTCAGTCACTTGCTTGCTAACTAAAAGACTTTCCATTTGTATTCAAGTCGGAATTCAGTAATTCAGTACCAGGCTCTATTCCACCCCCTTCAGTACCCTCAGGACTGCCCAGCAAGCTCTATTCAAGTCAGTTCTGACAATCCATCTACCAATACTACTAATACTAAAGTACCAGAACTTAAAACAGGTGACAAGTCCTCAATTTCGGATTTGTTTTTCCCCCAAACACTAAAAGGTTTTATTTAGCATTTCTAATACCGACTTTACTACAAACATCCCAAGCAACATTTAAGTCTCTCAACCGCATGACTCAAAAGGCCAATTCACTCAAAGAACACACTAGTCACTGTTGTGGGGTTCAAAAGAAGAAAACAGCGTATTCTTTCTGTTTCAGCTCACTGTGACATGGCAGAAGAGGGCCAAATCAAGGAGGAGTCCTGTTTGGGCTTCTTAAGTGGACAATCTGGTCAAGGTGAGGCTGAAAAGCAGCTGACTATTGGAGATGAATGGCCCCAACAGAAGGCAAAAGTAGGTTACATGCCCTGGTTATGTGCCAGCCCAAAGATGCCGACATAGTGGGATGGAGCCCATAATGGTCATTTATCTACTGTAATCCACCAAGTGAACTTTTAGCACTAACCTACACCTCAGCTCAGTGTTATTAGTCATCAGGCAGACCAGACAAGAGTGGAAATATTGCAACATAAAACCTGCCTTCCTACAAAGAACAACCTCAAACTTAGATCCTGATGGGCATCTTTGTAGACCAAGAGGGGTATATTATTATCACTTACCCAGCTTTCAACCCTACATTCATACACAGCTGGAAGCAAAGGAGGATTCATTTATTAGAATATATTCAGGGTACCCACTATGCAATTTTAAATAGCAACATATAAGACAAAATCCTCTAAGAGGAAAAAGTGTGCTCTCAATTGAACATTCTGTTGAATTCTGAACACAGGTTGACATTTATCTGCCAGAAAAAACCCAGGTGACCACAGATGCCTCCTTTCCCACTCTCAGCAGGGCAATTTTTTTTATTGCAATAGTCCAACAGTACTTGCAAAACAGTAAGTGATAATACTCTAGGAAAGGAAACAGAATTGATCAAAAAGGAGCATCACTTTCTATTTCCTTCTTCTTGCTCTTATTTTGCCTACCTGTTCTCAGCCTAGTCTCTACCTCTCTGACCTAGACTTTTTTCATTTCCTCTTTGCTCAAGGCTCTGTCTGTTACTGCCTCCTCTTTCCCATCCTCCCTCACCTCCCTACCCCCTTTGACCCCACCCATTTCTTCCCAGACCCTGGAACTCGCCCAAGTCACTCCAGTCAGTTTCTGTACTAGCTAGTCCTAGAACCTGGAAGTCTTCTCCCTTATATTTGCATGGCTAGCTTCTTTTTATTTAAAGCTCAGCCTAAGTGTTACCTCCTCAAGAAAGGTCTTTGACTGCATCCCAATCACTTTCTATCACATCACTCTACTTCGTTCAGCATTTATCAAAATCTGATTTATTTGCTTATTTATTCTCTGTTCCCACATACTCCAACCTAAGCTCCACAAGAGCCCACACCTTATGCTTGTGTTTACCTTTGTCCACCCAGAACCCAAAATACTAGCTAGCACTTACTCGCTAGACAATAATGCTTGCTGAATGAATGAATTTTGGACTTTTTATACAATGGTTCCAAATCAATAAAGGTAAGAACAGCAATCATTCTTTTCTTTTGTTACAGTTCTGTGAGACACCTAAACATGCTGTTGTACAATCAAAGCATTAAATATTCTGTTTTATCAGGCTTGAAAGCCCTAATGAGTCGGATGGAGCCCGTTATGATAATTCTTCTAGCAATACGCATATAAACTCAGTTATAGAGAGCTAGGATTTATGGACACTTTCTAATCAAAGGATCCCTAATATTTAGGCACTAATTATTAAAGTTCTTCAGAAAACACAGTTCCACATTCAACAGAGGATTTCCAAAGAAAATATCAACACCAAAATAGGAATTCTTACATTACACTCTAAAACTTCTAAGACAAGCTAAAAGAGCACCACTTTTTCTTAAACCAACAGAATATCAATAAAGAGATTTTCTTTCCAATCATCTCTGCTTTCTTCAAATAATTTTTGCACATTCGTTATTGGTTTGTATTCTTCTTTAAAACAACACAGATCATATTTTGTCATTTAAGACCACTTATATGCAAAGAAACAGCTAAATAAGATGGAAATCAGCACAAGTCAAATGTGCCACTGAAGACTTGTGTGCCTGACACACAAACGGAGAAAAAGATAAAAGAGCTATTGTCCAATTGCAGAAACAAAAAAGTAATACGGGGTTTTCTGTTCTCTGAAGTGCACCATGAAGTGTGGGTGGAGAGAAACACAGAAATCCAGAATTAGCTTAACATCAAATCATTTTGGAAAGAGTTGACAACATAAATTCCTCACACATAAAGTATTTAGAACGAGAGACTTTGATTCCTGGGCTATGATGCCATTTAGGAATCCTTGCAAGGACTTAGGAATTCCAGTATTCATAGGAGAAAATGCTCATCTTAATTTGGAGCTACCAGGCATTGAGAGGTACTCCCAATGTGACACAGCCTGTAACTGAAGTATTACAAAGCTTGCAGCAAGACCTGGGATAGAGGCTGACCACCAAATTCAAAAGAGGTAATCAGGGTACAAGTGCCATAAAGAGAAAAAAAAAAAAGAAAAGAAAAAAGAAAAACCACCATGATTACCATCTAGTCACAGAGAGCTGAAGTGGGAACGAGGGGTGTATATGGGGGAATAAAAGGGGTGAAAGGGAATGGAAAAAAACAATACATTTGTCACCCCGTCCCACTTCCTACACAGGATACAGGCAGAGCTTCCAGCCCCATTACCTCAGGCACAGATGGTTATCGTTTGTAGCGAAGGTGCACAGAGAGGCCTTCAGGTCTGAGCCCCTTAATTCCAGAACTGTTAATGATTAAAGAGAAGGATGGGGGTGGGGAGGGAAATGAGGGAGGAGGGAGCTGGAGATTCACCCACCACCTCCCTCTTGGACTCCTACCTTAACGGCGCTTACCCGGGGCAGAGAACCAGAGTCTGCACCCTCTCCAGGGCAGCTCCAACCCCCAGATCCCCAGGCCTGGGTTGAGGGGTGCTGGCGGGGGGGGGAGGCAGGGACAGTAGGTAAGTTTTCTTGAGCCCTGCGGCTGACACGCCACAGGCTCCTCTCACAGCCTCTTCTTCCAAAGGGGCCAGTCCAGACAAGGCGCTGATTTCCACTCCTCCCCTTCCACCCCCTTTTCTCGAAGGTACCCAACCCCCGCCCCTTCATCTCTCAATGCTCCCCCCTTTTCCTCAAACCACCCCCCCCCCCAAACTCACAGCTGCTCCAGAGGTTCCTCCAGTCAGACCCTTTCTGGAAACGACGGCGGCTCGGCGGGTCCAAACCACCTACCATCCCCGCTCGCGTTTCCAGGCTCTCTAGCCGCGCCGCCGCCGCCTCTTCTTCCACCACTGCCGCCACCTCCTCTTCATCTGCGGCCCACCGGCGGCGGCCGCCCCCAAACCCCGCCCCCTCCATCGCCTCCTGCATCATCACTTCCGGTAACCCCGCAGGCCGCCGGCTCCAGGAGAGTGTATTGAAGAGAGGCGGGGAGGAACGGGTGGAAGATTGCGTCACAACGTACGCAAAGACGCACGAAGCTGTAGCCAAGTAAGGGCAAAGACCTAGCGACGAGGAGGGAGGGGCTAGGAGGAACTTGGACTGGACCATTTTTTTGACTAGATTTGGGGGGAGGATAGCGGAAGAGGTAAAGGGAAACTAGGGAGAGGATGGAGTAGGCTATATTGTTGCTTACACAGCCGAATATGGGCTAGAGGATGAAATTTAAGGGAGACTCGTGACTACCCCCGACCTGGAACTAATGCTCCCATAGAGGTCCTCCGGGTGGTTTGGTCCGGCCTGGCCTACCGGACCTCCTGACCTCCGTCGGCCGCGGCTCTGCCAGACTCCCGGCGCCGCCTCCTCCTAGCCCGCGGTAGGCTGCGGCGCTTCTGTGGGTGGGGGAAGGCAGGACTGACGCAGAGTGAGTGTAGGGGATGGAGACGCTGACTCCTGGCGCGGGAGACTGGGGGAAGGGGTTGGCTCCCCAGGGGCAGGGATGGGGTAGGGGCGGGGGTGCGACGTTGCTAGGAGACGTGCTTGTGTGACCCCAGCCTCGCGAGGGCGGCTCGGTGTCGTCGCCACTGGCCTCGGGAACCTGCCTAGGGAGGTGGCCCGAGGGCAAGGAAGGGAATGTATGGGTTGGGGACGCTGAGATGCTTATTTGGGGCCCATCTCAGACGTTTCTGAATCGTTTGGATTCCCGAATATAAATGGGAGATTAGCAGGCGCTATTCTTGGGGCAAGAGGCGTCAAGCTGGGGAAGGTTGATCCAAACGAGGCCCCGTACAGGCTATGGAGACTGTCTAGAATAGTGAGAACCAGCTTCTTATTACCTCGGTCTACAAACAGAGCCAGACGGAGGCCTTGCTCTGTGACTTCGAGTCCGGAAAAAAGTTAAAATGTAAAGTTAAAGTTAAAATGTAAATCAATAAAGAAGGAAGATATCTGCAAGTAAGACGATAATACCGGATGAAGTGGTAGAAGATAGGAGGAGGGCCACTCTAATCGGGTAGAGCTCTTCATAGAAGGCCGGGTTTCACAGAGTTGCGAGAAAAAAGAGAAGCCAGGGAACGGACTTTCTAGGTGGAAAAAAGAGCCAACGGAAAGGGTTTTGAGAAAGGAAACGGCGAGAAAGCCAGGTGGCTGGAGCAAAACACAAGGGCCAAAGTGGTCTGTGGTGGCGAATTGGCAGGGCCTGATCAAGAACAGCATTTTAGCCCAAGGTAAGGGTTTGGCTGTTATGTTACCTGAGGGTTTTGAGAAGGGGAGTGACCTGACCTGATTAACATTTTTAAAAAAATGATTTGGCTGCTGGATAGAGAAGGGTAGAAGTTGTCAGACCTGTTAGGACGCTGTTGCAGTAGGCCAACGGGTAGTGGCAGTGGAAATGCAGATCATTAAATTCAGAATGCATTTTGGAAGTAGTTTGCAAGACTTACTGCCGGATTGGATGTGAAATGTATGGGACGAGAAGAAACCAAGGAGAACTAGTAAGCGGAACAGTTTGGAATGGAATATCCTAAGTTCTCTTTTGAATATACTAGGTTTGATAAGTTTACTAACCATCCAGGTGAATGAAGATGTCAAGAAGTTGGATATACAAGTAAGGGGAAAAGTCCTAGAGAAAACACACAGGCTTTTTAAGAGACATTTAGAGATTCCCTGGAGAAGAAGAGAAGCCAGCAAAGGAGACTTGACACAGATAAAGCCTCGGAGATAAAAGAAGGCTCCCTTAATATCCTGCAATAGTAAGACTTACTCACATAATCAGTGAGACTCACTTACCCAGCAGCCAGCTTCTATTCATCCTCTAAACCCTGGCTCAGATCTCTTCCTTCTCTTCCTCCCTCAGCTGTCAGTGTTTTTGGACTTGTGTGCAGGTGATTTGTGTCCATTACAGCAAGCCTGACTTTGCTTGTTAATTGTTCATATGTCTGACTCCCCCGTGGGCTATTTTTTCTTTGTGTCTTGCTTCTAGTACAGAGCTTTTTGCTCAAAGGGTTATAGATAGGTAGGAATACTGTATTCATAAGGTATCAGTCACGGACTTCAGCAGCTCTGACAAAGGGGCTTTTGTCCCGCTGCTGCTGTCACTGCCAGCCACAATCTAGATATGGTTAATCTCATAAAATCTAGAAAGGATATTAGAAGAAGTATCAGAAGGCCTGGGTTTCAGTCTTGGATCTGCTGCTGACCAGCAGTGGCATTCATTGGAGAAAGTCTTTTTCTTTGAGCTGAAGGGGTTGGTCTAAATTAATGATTGCAAATAGGCAATACAGCTAGCTATTGCTTGCAAACATATCGTTCTGCCTCCAAAATGATTTAAATTTAAATTCTTTTTAAAATTGACTTGCCAACATTTAAAAAATAGACATCAAAATCCAGTTTTTCAGCTTCATTTGAAAAAAGAGAATCTGGCAACACTAGCCTAAAGTTCCTACACTGCATCAGTCACCTGGAGCCAGTAAGCCTCTTCCCCCTTTGTATGTGGCTCAGTGCCAAAGGTCTCCTCTCTTTTCAGCTGTCTGCCTTACCCTTGTGGGCATTTGATTTGCAGTTCTTGGTCTTGAGCTGTGCTGTTCCCCAGTAGCCACAGCTACATGGAGCTATTTATTTTTTACATGTAGGTATTTAAATACAGTTTTATTTTTTATTTATTTTTTTTACAAATAGTTTATTGTCAAATTAGTTTCCACATAACACTCAGTGCTCATCCCCACAAGTGTCCTCCTCCATGCCCCTCCCCCCCTCCCCCCCACATCCATCAGTCCTCAGTTTTTGTCAGCATTCAAGAGTCTCTCATGGTTTGCCTCTCTCCCTTTCCCCCACCATTTCCCCCCTTCTTCTCCCCCTTGTTCCTCCGTCAAGTTCCTCCTAATCCTCCTATATGTGCAAACATATGATATTTGTCCTTCTCTGCCTGACTTATTTCGCTCAGCATAACACCCTCAAGGTCCATCCATGTTGCTACACATGGCCAGATTTCATTGTTTCTCATTGCCATGTAGTATTCCATGGTATAGATAAACCACATCTTCTTGATCCATTCATCTGTTGATGGACACTTAGGCTCTTTCCATGTTTTAGCTATTGTGGAGAGTGCTGCTATGAACATTGGGGTACATGTGCTCCTATGCATCAGCATTAAATACAGTTTTAAATGCCAGTTCTCAGATGCAGTAACCATATTTCATGTGGCCAGTGGCTAGCTACCCTGCTGGACATCAGTTAGAGAATATTTCCCTCATTGAACTACATTCTGTGTGGGCGCCTGGGTAGCTCAGTTGGTTGAGTGACCAACTCTTGATTTCAGCTCAGGTCATGATCCCAGGGTTGTGGGATGGAGCCTGCTTAAAATTATCTCCCTCCGCCCCTTTCCCCTGTTCACGTGCTCTCTCTCAAAATAAATAAATACTAGGGGCGCCTGGGTGGCTCAGTCGGTTAAGCAGCCGACTTCGGCTCAGGTCATGATCTCATGGTCATGGATTCAAGCCCCGCGTCGGGCTCTGTGCTGACAGCTCAGAGCCTGGAGCCTGTTTCTGATTCTGTGTCTCCCTCCCTCTCTGCCCCTCCCCAATTCGTGCTCTGTCTCTCTCTGTCTCAAAAAATAAATAAATAAATAAATAATACTAATAAATGTAAAAAGGAAATACATTCTGTAGGTCAGCACTGGACTGCAGGAGCTTGAAGGTGTTCTGGGTGTAAACAGTTCACACACATAAGGATGGACCAGTCATTGCTCCTGCTGTCAAGGGATTTTGTCTAGTAAGGAGCTCTGTTGCCTCTGCAGATGAGAAAAATTGCTCATTTGGTAGATACTTGATACATGGAGGGTATTTGGAAACTGTTGTGAAGTCAGGGACCACTACTCAACGTGAAGTTATTCATCATATGGTTAGATCAAGGGTCAAATGCTAGAAAACTCCAGCTGTATCTAATGTTATAACCAAAACCCTTTAGTCAGTTTCCTAATCCATTTCCCTAAGAAATTATCACAAAGGAGGGATTTAAATGCTAATCTAAATTAAGTGTTTCTTGTTCTCCAACTTTCCTAGTTCCTATGAAGGGGTGAAATTCTGGGTAGTTATGAATGAATAACTGGGGTTGATTTTTAGCATTGACCTAGTTTTCATCTATTTCCAGCACACATACACACCCACACATGTCTAACACCTCATCCTACTTCTGCTAACTGGTTCTTACCCCCTCTGACTGACCCTTACTTTGTCTCCTAAAATATGCCAATAAGGAAACAAATACTACCATTTCTTTTGAATTGAAGGGCCAAAACTTGGTTTCCATTTAGAATTTCTGTCTCTGAGGGGAAAAAGAGCTATATCTCTCTTGGTTACAGTTGCCTGATTGGAGTTCCCCTTACAAGTATAATCTTGTGCATGCTCCTATGCTGGTATATTTAGAATGAGCATACTTGCTTCACATGATTTTGTTTTGGATAATTTAGAATCCTTTCAGACATCAGTATTTTTGGTTTTTCCCTGTGTTCTGGAGATTTCCCATATTGCAGGGCCTAACCTAATTTCTATTCCTTTAAGTAAAATGAAAACATGATCTACCTTCCACTCCCTGCCTCCTATCTCTGACACAACATATTGTCACTTTCTGTGTGAAAAGATGGTGTTTCAGAGAATAGCTGTGGTATGATTAAGTACACCACACAAGCATATCCTGAGATTTGCAAAACAGTGTGTGGCATTACACTTCCCTTTTTGGATTCTAGTAACCAAAAACTGAATCCAGGACAGGAAACAAGTCCGTGGGGTGTGTGTGTCTGCCTGTCTGTATGCTAATTGAGAGGAAGGGAGATAGAGGGCAGAGATGTGTGGGGCACAGCTTAACTTGAAAGTTATTATATTAGATTTGAGTAAGGATGATACTGTATAGGATATGGGTGTACACCAGAAAGTAGGAAATATAAGAGATGTAGGAGAAAAACAAGCCAAAGGATAAGCAAGGAGTAAGAGATAAAGGAAAAAAAAATAGGAAGGGAAGTCTGGCCATGGCTTCAGTGTTGGCACCTGCATTATATTTCCAGTAAGAAGTATGTGCTGTGGTCTGAAGATAAGCAGTGCCTCCAACAGGGTTATTTACTTGTACTGAAGAACAATAGCCCTTTACTGTACAGGCATTATTAATGATCAGAGGGAAACAGCTTTAGGAAAATCCATCACTATCACAAAGCAATAAATTCACCAACAGGCAACATGCTTCTTTTCCCTCTTCTGCAGACAAAGCTTAGCATAGATAAAAGAGGCGTCATTGTTCCTCCTTAATTTCCTCCTATTTAGGTGACATTTGCCTTTGTTAACTCCCAGTGCTAAGTGATTTACATGGATTATCTCATAAGTAATCCTTACCACAACTCTTTGAAGAGGGCTCTGTTAGCCCATTTCACTTTTTCAGAAACTGAGGCTCAGGAAGACTTTACCAGTATAGCTAAATCAGTATTAAAACCCATGTCTGACCACTTCAGAACCCATTTTTTCACTAGTTGCATTATATCTTCTGTTCCTTACATATGTGGAAAAAGTTTGAATGCCTAAAACCAAGACAGTCATTCTCTACTCTGCTTTCCCGGGCAAGAAAATCTGTTTGTTTTGGCATTATGAGAGCATTTCAATTCGCTAGAGGTTTTCCAAATGACAGAAGCTTTAAATAACAATTTTGGAGGTTAGTTTCTATCCCTGAGCATTTGGGTGCAATGGATCTTATTCCCCAGAAGGATTTTTTTCCCAAGAAAAAATGTGTCCGAACCATATTTTTTCTATATGCTTGGTTCTAAGCTTCATGGAAACAGTAAATCATTTCATTCCAGTGGACCAACCCTTACTGGCCTTTAAAGAACTTAAGAGTAAGGGTTACATTATTATAACTGTAAGGATGGAACTGATAAGGTCTCCCCAAACCTGACACTCAACAGCAGCACTCTTGAAAACATCATTGTCAGGGTTATTAGTATTTTTTTTTAATTTTTTTTTAAATGTTTTTATTTATTTCTAGGAGAGAGAGAGAGAGAGAGAGACAGTGTGAGCAGGGGAGGGTCAGAGAGAGAGGGAGTCACAGACTCTGAAACAGGCTCCAGGCTCTGAGCTGGCAGTCAGCACAGAGCCCGACGCGGGGCCCGAACCCACGAACCGCGAGATCATGACCTAAGCGAAAGTCGGACGCTTAACCGACTAAGCCACCCAGGCACCCGGGGTTATTA